CCTCCTGCAAAACACATGGGAGTCAATGGCGATTTCTCCTGCAGGAGTTGATGTATTTTAAAAGTAAACAAACGATGGAATGAACTCGTCAGAAGAGATTATTTTTTTAGGAAAAAAATATAATCTCTTCTGACGAGATTTTTATTTAACCATTAATCTTACTCTAAAGTCTAAAGAGAGCTATATATGAACAGGAAACAATTAAGCTTTAAACCTCACTTTCTGTCTGCATTCAAGGTTAACAAAAAAGTTCATGTGCTTATAACAAGCCATATGGTTGTGTGTGACATATCCTTCTCACCCTTCTGGATGGTGGTCCGCCTCTGCGTTCATTAGAAAAATGAGCGTTATCTCCATGGTAGCCCCTTCCGTCGTCATGGTAATTCCGGGGTCCACCTCCGTTGGGGTAAAACCGGAGACCACCGTCAAAATCGTACCGGCCGTAGTCCTCCTCTTGTCTGGGAAAGGGTGGCCGTCTGTCCACATGGCCACCCCTCGCATATGGCCTCTGCAGTTTATGATTTTTTTTTATATGGCCTCTGCAGTTTATGATTTTTTAAAAAAATATATAATTGACATTGTGTTATGCAAGAATGTCGTTAGCATTTAGAATCCCCACTCACTTGTCTGTCATTTAGGAATCGATCATCGTACATTTCTCGTATGCCCCTTTCTCTTCTGTATGTCACTACAAAAGGTGGACAAAGACATTTAAAATCAAAGTTGTTTATTCAGATTACGTGAGCATGGTATTTTTTTAAATAAAATGTTTCGAATGAATGAAACAGACAGACAATTAGGAACAGAAGACACTTACTTTTTCTACCTAGGGGACTCCGTCTAAAATGTAGTAATCTAACCAAATCTGCAAAACAAACAAAGTTGTGTTGAGCCCTTTATTGTAATTCAGCTGCGATGGTTGTAATTTATTTGCAGTAGTTAGGAATATAAACAAAATATTACATTTTATTTCAGAGAAGTAGTGTCTGAACATGAGTAACCGGGCAGGATGGGTTTACATTCTGCCAACTACAGCGACCAAACACTATATATATATATATATATATATATAATCAGACAATAGAAACTAACAGACACTGAAAGTGACAATTCATAAAAACAACCATAACATATTTCACGTTCCCGAACTGTCTATATCAAGAGGACAAGCTCCATGTACACTGGCCAGTTAGCAATGTCCACTGTCTAGCCTCCATGTTTGCACCGAAGAACCGCACGTTTTATTACATCTGAGAGTGACGTAGGGTAACGTTACGTCTGCTCGAATGTCACTGTCATACAGGAGAAGTAATACGCTTCCATTTCGAGAAGCATATGCAATTTAATTAAGACTTAAAAGACGTAAAGACCAGCGCATTTCTCACCTGCTCTTATTGATACCTTAGCCTAGCTTCTCCTGTTTGTAAATTGTCTTTTTCCATTGGACGAGAGGTTCTTCCTCGTCATAAAAGTGCGACGAACAACTTCGATGGCGTTCCCTTCTCAGTGTGCGTTATCTGTCTGATAATTGCGAATTTTGCAACGTTTTAACGAATAAGGATTTTATTTAACCACTGGGAGCGTTTTGGTAAGACGTAACGTTAATTAAAAAATGTATATAATTGTGAGTATTAAATACAATGACGTTGCTTGAGTGTAGTTAGACATGTATTACTCAGGTAGCCGATGTTGACAGTCTACTCAGAACAAGTTTGAAAGCATTTGACTGCCTTTTTTTGTCATACAGTCTCTCCTTTGCGTCCATTATGAGTGGTGGTTTAGCACCAAGTAAAAGTACAGTTTATGTATCGAACCTGCCGTTCTCTCTGACCAACAACGACATACACAAGGTAAATTGTAGTTACGCCTATGTAAGTATTGCTCTGTGTATGTTGAGACTATTAACTTTCATTCAAAACTTTATTATTACAGCTCTTCACCAAGTATGGAAAAGTAGTGAAGTAGGTCATGCCATTTTATACATATTTTATTTATATATTCTTTATTTTCAAATATTTGCACTTGAATCTTTCTAAAAAAAACATTGCTATTGCAGGGTGACGATTGTTAAAGATAAAGTCACTCGCCTGAGCAAAGGAGTGGCGTTTGTTCTCTTTCTGGACAGAGAATCGGCTCACAACTGTGCACGAACCATCAACAACAAGCAGGTAAGAATGTTTAGAAACACTACTGTTTGTTTTAACATGTTTTGTGACTCATAATGAATGTCCAGTGTGCTCCAAATCCCATGCCCAGACTAAAGTAATCCACATAATGGGACATCCAGCTTTAGCTGTACTATAAAGTAATAGACATTGAGATCAATAATGCACCGGAGGTTATTCACGTAACATTTCATTTTCATTTCCCACAAGACTGATTTGGAATTGGTTGAAAAACATAATTTAGTAAATTGAAAATACCAGATAAATTGGAATATTTGTATCATATAAGTCCATAGAGGTGGTTATTGTTTTTCTTCTGTGAAAATTAATTGATCAGTTATAAATGTATTTGTGTACTTAGTTGTTTGGCAGAACTGTTAAAGCCAGCATTGCAGTTGACAACGGGCGAGCACCTGAATTTATAAAGAGGCGCAACTACACCGATAAGACTAAATGTTATGAATGTGGGGTGAGTTACAATTTTGTGGCCATTATGACACTACAATATGACACAATATGTATTTGTGATAATGATGCAATATTTAAATAAAAACATTTTTGGTTGTTAAAAAAAAACAGGATTCAGGTCATCTAAGCTACGCATGCCCCAAAAATATGTTGGGAGAGAGAGAACCCCCAAAGAAAAAAGAGAAGAAAAAGAAAAAGGCCAAGAAAGATGATCATGTGTAAGTAGTTTTGAAATTTGTATTTATATATTTATATATTATATATTTATATTTTTATATAATAATATATTTATATTTTTATATAATAATATATTTATATTTTTATATAATAATATATTTATATTTTTATATAATAATATATTTATATTTTTATATAATAATATATTTATATTTTTATATAATAATATATTTATATTTTTATATAATAATATATTTATATTTTTATATAATAATATATTTATATTTTTATATAATAATATATTTATATTTTTATATAATAATATAAAGTTATAATATATAATTATATTATTTATTTACCTTTTTTATTGTAGTGAAGAAGATGAGCAAGAAAGTGAAGAAGAGGGGGAGGACCCAGCCTTAGACAGTCTTAGTCAAGCTATAGCTTTTCAGGTGAGTGTAAGAGCAGGAACAAAAGAGAGAGAAGAGATTGTTTTCAGTATAATACTAATATTTTATTATTATTATTTTTCTAGCAAGCTCGTATTGAAGAGGAGGACAAACAGAAGAAACAAATGCCTTCTTCTCAAGGACATGCTTCAACATCCGCAGATTCCAAGAAACCAAGGATTAAAAAGAGTGCTTATTTCAGTGATGAGGAGGAACTTAGCGATTAATTTGAACAAAAACAGACATCACGCATTTGTCACTTAAAACCTTTTGATTAATATGGACTATCTTCTGTAATGTATTATTTTTTAGATTTTTTCTCTTGAGGCATGTTTAAAGTGCAGCGTTGCATATTATGTTGCTTTTCATTAAAACTGTTTTTTATTGACATACAAAATTACTGTCTTTGATACAAATTAAAGTCATATGTTGTAACGTATATAATGGGCATTTAAATGTAAGACGTATAAAAGTGTTGTGATAGGTTATTGGGGGTTTTATATTTTACAAACATTTTTGTATACAAATGTGATTTTTTTTCAGTCCTGGTTGCTGTTGATGGAAATTACACTGGTTTAGTATAATGGGAAATTCAATCCAGTGTGTGATCCTCGAAGTGCAAACGTGCAGGAAAACCCGGACTGTTTCTGTCCGCGTCAGCACCAAAACAAAGCCAGGGATTCCCCGGTGTTTTAAGACTCTGTGGTCGAAACTACACGCTTTGTGTACAGCCTAAGGAGTCATTAAAGAAATGGAGGGTTGTGAATAACATGCAGAGAGCTGATGGGACTCGATCACTCGGTAAGCACGCTGCTGCAAAACGCTATATTATCTGTAGTCTTATGTTGCTTTTGAGTGCAGTGGGGATTTTTGTTTACCCAGTCAACACAGTGAAAATGATCGACAAGTGCTCGTCATTAGACTAAATTGAATATTCTTACAAATTACAAACACGATTTGGGAGTCACATAGCCTAGGACCAATGTCAATAAAGTGGTTTCTAGAGAAATCACGTTCAAACACACGGTTCTTTAGTGCAATCATGCATTGTTTTTGAGTTTTGTTGCCCATTGCTTCTGTTCACTGGATTTCTCCGCTCCGCATTAATTAACTCTTTTATCGTATTATCATATTAGAACACCAACATTTTATTCCCACTCTTTACGATGACCATCTACACATCTACGACCAGCTACTGGTGTAAAAAATGGCCAATTTGTAGTAGTTATTACACAATATATCGGGTAAGAATTCGAGTATAGAAACTATTATTGAAAATAATATTCAGTTTCTGACAATAGAATTTAAGAAATAGGGAATTTCATCCATATTATATACAGTCCAGCCTTTAATTACAGAACAAAAACACAGTCATAACTGTTATTACGAGAAAGAACGAGTTAGTCTGGTGTCCGTGAATGCGACACCGATTCATCAAGAGGAATGTCAGCCTCGGGAAGTAACACCGCCCGTGATTGGACGGTAAGCCCCACGTGACCATTCCCAAAGCGGAGTTTCCACGACAGCTGGAAGCCGAGCGGCACAGGCGCATCGCTTCTTTCGTCCAAATTGTCGGAAATAGCGCGACTTGTGCTCGTTCCAGCGCCTCCACGGGAACCCTGGTCTGGCATGGGCGACAAGAGGAGTCCCACAAGGTAAACGTCCCACTCACTGCGTCCCGGGTATTCAAAGCCTGGAGAGGGGGAACGGACATTGGCGAGCGCTTAGAAAATGGGTTTTCTTCCCTGTCGTCTCTCTCACCCTCCCTCCCTCTCTCCATGTCTCTCTTCCCCCCTCTCTCTCTCCGACTGTGTGTGTTTAAACCTCATCGCCAATTACAGTGTGCGATCGGAGCTCGTAGATGATTTCCTCAATCCTATAGGCTTCTTACCCAGATGTTTGCTGTCGACTAGTCTTCATGGACGCGATCTGAACTCACTCGTCTCCTCCTCCTCCTCCTCCTCCCCTCTCCTACCACAACCACCACCTCCTTCCTCTCATTATTAATCCATCTTTTTTTCCACACTTGTTTTAAAGGCCGAAGCGTCAACCGAAGCCCTCCTCCGACGAGGGGTTTTGGGACTGCAGCGTGTGCACCTACAAGAACACGGCCGAGGCATTTAAGTGCATGATGTGTGATGTGAGAAAGGGGACTTCAACAAGGTAAGGCGATGGATAGGATATTATACTTCGGATTTTTTTATTGTGGGGACACGAGAGATTCCCCGTGTGTGCACTAGCGTGTCTGTGTTTGTAGGGAGGGAGGGAGGGTTGGGGGTGTTCCAAGGACCTGGAATGATTCACAGTGACATCCTAGTTGGACACATTGATATTATCATGAAGAGTAGTTTTCCGAACCTCCAAAAGAACCCACCGGGGGTCTTCCACCCTGCTTCCTCCCCAGATGATCCTAAACCGTTTGCATGGTATTAAAATCTATAAGTTGTGTGACGATTTCCCACGATTCTGTTCCTTACTGGATTTTTAAAGCACTTGGTGTAGTGAGCTTGGGGCATGACGTGCATTCACTGCTCAAAAGGTGTTTCCCAGATGTTACTGCATTGTGTATTACCAACTGATGACACTCTGAGCTTTTGTATTTCCATCATTTTTCGAACATCACTCTCACCTGAAATGCATCCCTAAACATTTACCTAGCTTCCGCCGTTCTTTACTGGAGGTTTTAAATTATTACAAATCATTCCTGACGTCAAATGTTTGGTCGACTGATTGGGCTGTGAGATCTAGACCCATTTAATTGTCGTACAGCCTTTGTAAAATGTTGTGTAATTAACAACTGTTTTCCATTGGTTCCTCTTCTTCAGACACTATTCCAGTTAGACCAGTTTGATTTTTTTGATAAGGCTTCTGCAAACAGTACTAGACGAGATGCAGGCAAATAATATTTTCCCGTTCTAGATCTTTGCTGGTCTTTGGACTCTTTTGTACTTTGATTTTTAGTAATTTACCAATTTAGCAGGTTTTATTTTAGGTCAAATTTCACAGCAACAAGGTCACACCTACAAATTGCCCGCAGATGTGGTATTACAGCGTGTATTTTTATAATATCTTCTGTGTGCTCTGATGCAAGTTAGTCTAAAGAGACATGACACCTTTATGAAGTCAATAGTGCATGAACAAGAAAAAGATCACAATGTGCAGAAAATGGCCCAGCTAGGAGTTGTAACAAAAATAAGCAATTGAGTAAAAATCTTTTTGGTGGTTTGCAACTTTTGTCTCAAGACTGAAGAGCCATGACCTAATTTATTAGGCTCTTTAAAGATAAACTATAACAACATTGCATTAAATTTAAACAAAAACAGTTCCATACTCATGTTTCTCCAACCAAATCAACCTGTTTGGTCTGTTACTTTTGTCTCGTCACATTATCTCAAAGGAGCATGTTAGCCTATGACGGTGTCCGGTCGCTGACACTGACCTCACTAAGATGAAGGACAGCCATGGCGCTCCCTTTAAGTACACACATCCATCATGTTGCCCCAGAGACATTGGTGAAGAGTTGAAGGTGGGGTGGGGGGGTACACAGGTATTCAGGCATACAAACACACAGTGTTTGTGGGTGTGTGTGTGTGTGCGCACACATACACACAATGCCCTCTGTGGCTGAGTGTGGGTTTTCCTGACTTCAGTGATTTGAGGCAGGAAATGACTTAGTGCTGAGTGGTGGTCATGATCAAAATGAATCCACAACACAAAAGCTGAAGTAGAGGGTTCATGGCTCTCCACTCTGTCTGTGACAAACCATGCTGTTACCAAAAACCAGTCACAAAAAAAATGGAAGCCCTGTCAAAGGGCTGCTTTCACACAGACTCTGTTTAGTCTGACTGAACCAAACCCTTACCACCACGGTGCGATTTCTGCCCCTGGAACTTCAGTGCAGACCCAACAAGAGCTCTTTGTCGGAGTCTTCGACTTTTACTTTACGTTAACCCTGGGCCACACTGATTGGTTCAGTCCGACCTATGAATTATTTGTCATTCACGTTCCGCTTTGCTTGATGAGAGCGATTAGGGTTGCTGTATAATCTCATCAGAGCCTATTATCATCTCCGATATAAACCGCTAACAGCAGCACATTACCTAAACATTAAGAGCAATAAGAGGTTCGTTTATGTTGTGTGTGGTCTGTTAACATCAACCGTAAATGTGCTGATATCACAATAAAGCAGCTCCATCTCTTGGCATTCAGACTGGTTGAAGATTTGCCTTTATGAGCAGCAGAAAAACGACATTTGGAAAAAACTGCAGCAGAGCATCATTTCTTGAGTTTGTTTTGTTTCCCTTAGGAAAATAAACTATTAAGCGTCATCCCAGTTTTGTTCACAACCTTTGAAGGCGTAGTGACATATAGTATAGAACCAACATTCTAAATGGTTAGCCTGTAAGCTAACTGCTAGCTTATTAAACTGTGACTTTCTCATCTAAAACCTAAAGGCCAATAAGCAGCAGAGGTTAAGCAATGAGACTTAGATGTTTTCCACATTAGCACAACTTTCCTTTCGTGGGGACTTTAACGACTACCAAAACAACACAGTTCCGGCGTCTGTGTTCAGTTTTGTTGTGTTGTGTTGGCACAAGCAGTTGCACTCTGAACGCTGGATGTTATTTGCACGCACACACTTGTGTTCTCTTGTGTGTGGGAGGACCAAGTTGCAAGGAGAGGTTGTCAGAGCAGCTGCCAGACAGACAAGCACAAGCTCATTACTATGCAACAGCTTAATCAGCCCTCTGTCACACACTCTCTAATGTACCAATGCACTCAACATGCAAATTCTTCACATGAGCGCATGTATATTCATACACAAATGCACAATCAGATGCGCACGCCCCATAAACACGCTCCACTTTGGGTGCTCCTTAAATTGCCGGAGAGAAAAGGGCAGCAGACATGCTGTTGTCATAGTGTCCAGCTTACTGGCTTTCGAGTGTTGATTGCTGAGAGATGTTTCGGATGCTGCCGTGTGTTTCAATAACAAATGGCCAGCCAGCGTCTGTGCCAGGAAATCGCCTGAATATTCACCAAAAGGTTTGTCCTACCCATCTGGACTGTTTTTGTTTTTCCTGGGATTAGATTGCACGGATGCAGCCAGCATCTGTGTAGAGGTATTATTTAATTCGGATGGTTTTTGTGGCTAGGATTTCATTGTGGAGAAGTGGTTTCTGCTGTTGCCTCGTAGAATGAAGGACATCCTTTAACGTCCCCGTTAGTTGATATGTAGTCAGAACCCCCGCCTCCCCCAGTGCTCTGCAATTTCTCCTACAGTCTGGAAAAAAAATACATAGACTATACGTAGACTGAATTAACTGAGTATTTTTAGATGTTTTTTGCAGAGCAGTGAATGAACTCTTGGGGTTATTCTCCAGCAAAACTGCCACATGGGTGGCCATTAACCACCATTAATCGTAAATGAGCATTCATCGGACTAGCCTGTTTCTCAGCGAAGAAAGCAAAGGTGCTAACAGGGTAAAACTGCATCCAGAATATAAATGCGAGACACGCTGATTTCCCTCATTGGTTACTAAACACGCATGACTGAGCTATTACTGTAAATTATTTACTTCACGCTCGGTGCAGGCAGTGGTGGAGTCTCCTATGAGTACAGGAAGTGTTCCAAAGGCTTTGAAGGTCACAGGTTGGATGGTAAGCATGCGCTCCTGTAGGAAGCGGCAAAAAGTGTAAGATAAAAAGGGAAGAATTCGGTACTGTGCAAGGGTTTAGTGTCGCTTTTTTGTAAAAACCTGCATGTTCTCAACAAGTGCTGACAGACAAGAATGGGAACATTTAGGTACAACGTGGAGAAGTCGAGAGCTTGCATGTACATTGGCTTCAGAATGAAACATAAATGCTTTAAGTTTGAGGTGTAGCAGATCTCGCAGCTCGCGTCTCGGTGAGGATCTGAGCCGGCAGGCTGATTCACACATGATGGGATGCATCAGCAAGATTGGACTCACTTATCAGCGTAGGAGGGGTGTAATGGAGTAAAGAGACAGATGGATGAGGAGAGGAACTGGCCAACGTTCTTCCTAATCTGTGAGCAGCCGTGGAAACTTCTGCAACCGCAGAAGTACGATTTCAAAAACACAAGTGGAGCACGTCGGAAAGCAGAAATGTGCATTTTAATATTCCCTTTACACTTGGGTCGTTTTTGCAGATTAACATGAAATAGAAATTTTCTTCTTCTGCCGCGTTTAATTAAAAGCCGTCCGAAGTTAGTGTGCCGGCACTGCGCCGTCTCATATCCGTAAGACTTTGCTGCTTGTTTTATCTTCTGTTACTCCTTTGGCCCGAGTCCCAGGTTTTTAATACCCGTGTGATAGATCAATGTGCAGTGGTACTTAAACAGAGGGTGTTTGATACGTGCAAGGTCACCGGTTTAATTCCCGCTTTAGCTGAAGGCAGATTGCCCTTGAGTAAAACACAGCAAGACTTTGAGTTTGGCTGTGATGATCAGGTTGTCGTCAGTGCTGGTGTCGTGGTGTTACAGCAGTGAATGCACCTGCCTGGTGAGAATGTGCAGTTGAAACAGAGCCGCTGACAGACGCACAATTAAACAGAGGTCTGAACCTAATCCTTAGGTAAATACTTCCAAGGCGGTGTGTGTGTGTGTGTGTGTGTGCTTGTCCTTCTCTAGTTTCTCACCTCCACCCACTGAATCACTGAAGTTCACTGAACCGAGCTGTGACAGATCAGGCCCACCAGGGAAACATGGCGTGTGTGTTTGTGTGTCTGTGCTCAGCAGAGAAGAACTTGTTTGTCAGAGTCGTATTCCTACAGGCCAGAACAGCGAGCTTGATCATGTTTCTAAAGTATTACTTCACTTCGTCTGCCTCGTTTCGTTTTTGCTCTCTCTCTACCTTGAACTTTTGTGTTTTTTTTTTTCATCTCAGCAATCTTTCCGTCTCTCCCTCTCTCTCAACCCCCGTTCAGGAGTTGAACCCGGCTCAGGCTGTCCTCGTGGTGACAGATTGAATGATGTTCGGTATTTCATCAGCTCCGTCTAAACAAGCACGAGCTCTTTTCTGACTGGCTCTGAGCATTCGGCTGCTTATACTTTGTTTTATCATCCTCCACGCAAGATTGCCTTCACCCTTCATGTGCTCCGTACACGTTTAACATTGACCTGTTGTAGCTGCGCAATTGGC